TGTGCAATAAAAAAAAAACTCATCTTGTTACATTAATTGAAAAAATAAAAATAAAAACAAATTTGATTATATGGGATGAAGCACCTATGAATCACAAACATTGTTTTGAAGCATTGGATAAATCACTTTCTAATATTATGTCCCAATTAAATGATTCACAAGGTAATACTCCATTTGGTGGTAAACCTTTTTTATTAGGTGGTGATTTCGACAAATATTACATGTTATACTTGGAGGAAGCAAACAGGACATAATAAATGCTTCTTTAAATAATTCTTATTTGTGGTCACATTTTAAAATATTTTATTTAAAAGAAAACATGAGATTATCAAAAAATGGGTTAAGCATTGATGAAAAGAGAGGAATCAGTGATTTTGCAAATTGGATTTTACAAATAAGTGATGGAAAAATTGGTGAAAATAATTCAAATGATAAAGATACATCTCTAATTGAAATACCTAAAGATTTAATAGTTGATTCTTCTCACAACCCAATTTTATCAAATTTTCTTGCAACTTATCCCAATTTTAAACATTCTTATCAAGATTTTGCCTACTTGAGAGAACGTGCTATTATAACACCTCGAAACACAATTGTTACAGATATAAACAATTATATAGCCGATTTTTTACCTGGAAAAGAACATGTATTTCTAAGCTATGATTCTTTGTGTTCTTCAAATGGAAATAATGAAAATTTAGAAACATTGTATCCTATTAAATTTTTGAATAAGCTCGATTTCAATGGTTTACCTACACATAACCTAATTTTGAAAATAGGAATGTCAATTATGATGTTACGAAATTTAAATCAGTCTTTGGGTTTGTGCAATGAAACTAGATTAGTGGTTACTCAATTATTCAACCAAATTATTAAAGCTAAAATTCTTGCTAGAAACAATATTGGTTACAAAGTATTCATTCCAAGAATCACTCTAACAGCAACAAAAAATAAGTGGCCTTCTAGTTTTAAAAGACGTTAATTCCCTGTTAGACCATGTTATGCAATGACCATCAACAAAAGTCAAGGACAATCTTTGAAACAAGTTGGTTTATATCTTCCTAAACTTGTTTTCACCCATGGTCAATTATATGTAGCATTATCTAGAGTTACATAAAAAGAATGTCTAAAGATTTTGGCTTCAGATGGAGACAATAATGTAGACAACTATACTGCAAACAAAGTGCTTAAAGATGTATTGCAAAATTTATGAGTAAACTATTTATTTCTTGCAACTATACTGAAGATTTTTCACTTATCATTGACTTTCTTCCATTGCTTTCTTTCTTTTGCAAATGCCGCATGAACACTTAAAAAGACATATCACCTTCGCACTTTCCAAAACAATTGAGGTTGAGATCAAACAGGTGAAATATTGGTTTAAAAAGTTATGTTGCAATGTTGCTTTCCTTTTTTCTAAAACCAATCTCAAACCATATTTACCTGTTCTTTCCTCTCTTTTGTTTTTTTTTTTTTTTCTTTTGCATGTTTTGTCTACATTTGGTTTATAGCATGTTACACGCATGTTTTAAATGTTTACATAAATTTAACACCTTTAACTTACACCTTAATAAATACATGTCAACACTCCAGCCCTACAAACAAAAAAATCACCTTACCATGTTATTTGTCATGTGTATCATACTTTATAAAACATGTGGATTAAAAGATTGTTTATACTTGAAAACCTTATATCAATCTACTTATTTGCGATGTTGATCACCTTGCCAGGTTATTTGCCATGCTCATCACCTATTCCGTTTAAACGGTAAATCAAAATACTCAAAAATCTCTGCCCTTTTTTTCATGACTGTTTTATGCTTATCTACACTAATGTTTCTCTTCAGGGGAATTGGCTGTTGCGAATGTATATGCACACTATCTTCATTTTATATGGCCAAAATGCATGTCCAATTACCTATCACCCTGCCAATCAGTTAACCCGGACATTCAAGAGCATTGGTGAACATATTATCACAACAAATACACCCATTCCACATAGCTTAATAAAACCACATAACACTTTAGTAATAGAGCAATTGTTGCATTTTATCGAAACATCTCATTATTAGTTAGATAAATTTCACAATTCCACTATTCTTATCATGTTCTTCAATTCAATTAAACCATGTGAAAACAGTATATATTCAGTTTCAACAATTGCATTCATGCTTTTGGATGTTCATCTTAAACCCATCACTAATTAGCCATGTAATTTGACATGTATCCAAAATAGGTAAAACGAAGAAAATGTTTGTGTATAAGTTGGTTGTAGTCAATTCCTCTGAAGAGGAAAGATGGAAATGATGATTGTTTATCTACGTCGAATAAGTTTTGTTTGGTCCATCTTTCAACACTCTATGTCCCCATTTTTACAGCAACATTAATTTAAATTGTCCTGCACATGTTCAACTTACACTAAACTTATTAGCACCGCTCTAGATACTTTCGTAAATAAAAACAATTATCTCTCTTTCTTTTTGAGTTTGCTTTGATTAAAACGACACAATGTCAAAACAAGGAGGCAAGATTGTGAGTGTTTTCTGTCTTTCACTGTGATATACTCTTCAACGACGATTCTTGTTGTGGTCTATTTTTGTTACATATTCCAATTATAAAATTGCTTCATCATATTAATCTTCAAAATCAGGTACCTTTTTTCAACAATGTCTTCTTTCCTCTACCTATCTTGTTTTTTAATATTTTGCAAAAAAATTGACATTTATCCATTTCAAATTTTCTGTCAAAAAATTAAAATTCAGGAATTTTTAAAGAGATTAAACATGTTCGAATAAACAAAGTTTTTATAATTGCTTTTTAGATATGCAATGGAGGTGTTAACATCTTCCCCGAATGATATCTAAATCCTCAACCACAATGGAACAATTTAATGGTATGTTTTCTTAACTCTATTTTCTTGGTGTCTTGCGTTTAAATTCAATGTTGACTAACCTTCTCTTCAGGGGAATTGACTGCTACCAATATATGTACAAACTATCTTCTTTTTACTTGCTTTGAATACATGCCTAATTCCTTACTTGCCCATTGATGAGTTAAGTTGGGCATGTGTAAGAATATCTTCGATGGGAACATCTAGATTTATATTTTTGCATGTCCAACTCAAACCCCTCATTGAACAACCAACCAATTAGCCATGTGTCTACAACATATCAAAATAAGAAAGCCTCTATATATAAATTGGTAGCAACCGACTCCTCTGAAGAGAAGATGAAAATGATGATTATTTCTCCAAATAATGGAGGTTGAAATAACTCAGCAAACTATATCTTTGTATTACACAGAGACACCAAACTAACTATATATGATCCATCTTTTTACACCATTGCTTCAACCTGTTTAATTGAAGTATATCCTTTACACCAAAATATGTAAACAATGATCTCAAATTTTGAAACCAAATATCTAATGACATTAATATGCTTCAAATTTCATTCAGTGATGCAATCTATTAACTTATTTTGCAATTACTTTTATTTCAACATATTCTACCTTCTTTACAATCCTCCAATATTTTTCCTTGCATATCCAATCAGTCATAGGTCAATATATCCAATATGTCACTATATTGTCTCAATCACACTCTTCCACAATATATTAGTTAGACGTAACTATTTACACAGTTTTTAATTGTAGAACATCACACTCCAAAAAAATGTTAGCTCAAATATCATATTGACATATATTCTCAGCTTTTTAACACCTTTTCGATGGTGGTCTTCCATTTGTTACAGTTGAAATCATCGAATTTGATTACTCTCCACCCTTGATCATCCTCATTTTGTCGTAAGTCGCTCACAATTACTCAATCGTTTTAATCCATATCAAATACAATTCCTACTTTTTAACATATTTTTCTAATCTTTGGGCACTGCTTGATTTGTTTTGTCAAATGGTGCATAAATTTTCATACATGCTCTATTAATATGTGTTAGACCCACCCCACTTTTGAGGTTTTCGTATGCAATGCTGAAACATTTTGTGCTCAAAGTATATCACATTTGTCTTTTCTTTCAGATTTTTTGGTAAACAATTTTACCAAACACTTTTTCTTCTTCTGTATTGCGTATCTCTTTGGATACTAAGTGTAGAGTATACTTTTTTAACACTTTCGTGTCTACAGCCATGTTATATGATCACCTACTATGCTTTTATTTTCTTCAATAAAACCAAAATAATTCATTAATTTTAATCCATTTATTCTCATTTTTTCTACAAATCATTCTACATCTTTGATTCTAACTTCTTGGTTCTTCAAATATATGTATATATGTTCTATTCTACATTCTTTTATTATTTTCAAAAATATTCTAATTTAACGTTCTTGAATAGCAAGAAACAACGTCGCAACAACACGCGGGCACTATTATAAAATTGCTTCATCATGTTAATCTTCAAAACCAGGTACCTTTTTTTAACAATGTCTTCTTTCCTCTACCTATCATGTTTTTTAATATTTTGCAAAAAAAAAAAATAGACATTTATCCATTTCAAAAGAAATTAAAATTCAGGCATTTTCAAAGAGATTAAACATGTTCTAATAAACAAAGTTTTTATAATTGCTTTTTAGATATGCAATGAGGTGTTAACATCTTCCCCTAACGATATCTAAATCCTCAACCATAATGGAATGATTAAATGGTATGTTTTCTTAACTCTCTTTTCTTGGTGTCTTGTGTTTAAATTCAATGTTTACTAACCCTTCTCTTCAAGAAAATTGGTTGCTACCAATATACATATACAAACTATCTTCTTTTTACCTGATCTAAATACATGACTAATTCCTTACTTGCCCACTGATGAGTTAAGTTGGACATGTGTAAGAATATCTTTGATGGGAACATCTAGATTTATACTTTTGCATGTCCAACTCAAACCCCTCTTTGAACAACCAACCAAATTAGCCATTTGTCCACAACATGTCAAAATAAGAAAGCCTCTATATATAAATTGGTAGCAACCAATTCCTTTGAAGAGAAAAGATGGCAATGATGATTATTTCTCCAAATAATGGAGGTTGAAATAACTTAGCAAACTATATCTCTGTATTACACAAAGATACCAAACTAATATGATCCATCTTTTTACACCATTGCATTCAACCTGTTTAATTGAATTATTTCCTTTACACCAAAATATGTAAACAATGATCTCAAATTTTGAAACCAAATATCTAATGACATTAATATGCTTCGAATTTGATTCAATGATGCAATCTATTAACTTCTTTTGCAATTACTTTTATTTCAACATATTTCACTTTCTTTACAATCCTCCAATACTTTTCCTTGCATCACCAATCAGTCATAGGTCAATATATCCAATATGTCACTATATTATCTCAATCACACTCTTCCACAATATATCAGTTAGACATAATGATTTACACAGTTTTTAATTGTAGAACATCACACTCCAAAAAAATGTTGGCTCAAATATCATTTTGACATGTATTCTCATTTTTTTAACACATTTTCGATGGTGGTCTTCCATTTGTTCTAGTTGAAATCATCGAATTTGATTACTCTCCACCCTCAATCATCCTCATTTTGTTGTAAGTCGCTCTGTTGGAGCGAGATTTCTCACAAGAAGAAATGCCTCCATAGATTCGTTGACCGCAATCCTCACGTTCGCCGGATCCTTCGCTAGAGATGCCCCCGAATAGTCTTCTTCTGTAGCTTGCCCGGGTGGTACCTGCAAGAGATACTGATGCTCAAGTCAGTCGATTGATTTTTTATTCTCTGGATTTTCTCGGGTTCTGATTACGTCCCTTGTTCTTTGGCTCCTTTCCCTATTTATAGGATTGCATGCTTGAGGATCAAGCACCACGGCCAATCCTCTTTTCCCACTTCTTTAGTGGTCATCTGTCATATGACTGCATGCTTTGGGAACAAGTGCCACGACCCGTTTCCCTCTCCCACTTCTCCTCCGTAGTAAGGTAGTTATCTAAGCACGTTCCCTTGCGTTCGTATATTTCTTGTGGGCTTTTTACCTTGCACAACACTTTCCCCTTGGATGATTGGTAATCGCCCATAAGTCGAAACTAGATTTTATCCTCCCACAGTGCCCTTTTTTTCATTTTTTACGCATGTGAAATAGGGGAAAACTGAGTTTTTCGATCTTATGGGGCCTTGAAACTACACTCTTTAAGCCAAGCTAAACTTGAAGCACTTTTTACTAAGGCCAAATTTGTGGAATTTGCTTTTTCTAAGAGTAAATTTACTGAAAGTAAATTTATCGAAGCCTCTGTTTCATTACGAATGAGGGTTGACATCTTCCCACTATGATTTTCGAACGAGGACTTACGAAACTAACACATCACGAAAGTGGACTGACATCTTACGAACTGACGAAATTTAACTGAGTAGGTTGTCTGACAGGCTATACATATATGTACCTAAGCCTTTGTTTCATTACGAATAAGATCTTCCCACTATGATTTTTCGAACGAGGATTTACGAGCGAGGACTGACACGTTGACATGATTTACAAACGAGAACTTACGAACGAGGACTGACACATTACGAAAGTGGATTGACACATTACGAAAGTGGACTGACATCTTACGAACTGACGAAATTTAACTGAGTAGGTTGTCTGACAGGCTATACATATGTGTACTTAAGTCTTCGTTTCGTTACGAATAAGATCTTCCCACTATGATTTTCGAACGAGGATTTACGAGCGAGGACTGACACGTTGACTTGATTTACGAATGAGAACTTACGAACGAGGACTCACGTTATGAAAGTGGACTGACACCTATATCGTATTTATTATATAGATCTTTATCCCATCTTGTCTGCACACCTGCATACACTTTTACCTGATTTACACACACACACACATATATACATATATATATATACATACATATATATATATATATATATATATACCATGTATGTTTCCTGCTCACACATATAATCAACAATGCTAGGCTGCAAACCTAGTCGGCACATCTAATCTACATGCCTATATATACATATATCAATACACACACACACGCACACACGCACACACACACACACACACACACACACACACACACACACACACACACACACACACACACACACCGACACACTTGCTTCACTCATTCTCTCTCTTTATAAATATATTTATAAAAAAGAGAGTTTAGTCGGTACCACTAGGAGCCGTGCGTTAGAAAGACCATATTTGTCTTCAACGTTTTTTTTTTTTTTTTTTTTTTTACCTATTCTCTCAGACCGACACACTTGCTTCACTCATTCTCTCTCTTTATAAATATATTTATAAAAAAGAGAGTTTAGTCGGTACCACTAGGAGCCGTGCGTTAGAAAGACCATATTTGTCTTCAACGTTTTTTTTTTTTTTTTTTTTTTTACCTATTCTCTCAGATTTTCGATCTTGGGTTTTCTTTTCCCACTCAAATTTAGACTTCCGATCTTGGTTGGGTCTCTGCCCATCCGATCTTGGGTTTTCTTTTCCAACTCGACCTTGATTGGGTCTCTGCCCATCCGATCTTAGGTTTTCTTTTCCCACTCGATCTTGATTGGGTCTCTGCCCATCCGATCTTCGGTTTTCTTTTCCTGCTTGATCTTTGATTTCTGATCTTGATTGGGTCTCTACCCATCCGATCTTGGGTTTTCTTTCCCCACTCGATCTTATGTTTTCGATCTTGATTCGATCCTCATCCCTTGGTTTAAGATTTGAATGAAATGCAACTTTATTTATCAAATAATAGGGAGATGTCAACAGACATCCAAGGATACACCCTTCAACATGCAAGGAAGACAAAAAGGGATTTACCCTTCAACATTGTTGGAAACAGAAATTTAAATATGGAAAACATAAACACGAAAAGCTAAATGTGGTACTTTCTTAAATGAATTGCATTCTATAGGCGCGGAACATACTGACCTATTTCAACGTGCCTAAGTTTATAGCTCCCTTTCCACAGGCTTCGGTCACCTCGTATGGTCCTTCCCATATGCGTCCAAGCTTCCCTGCATTCAAATCTTTTGTGTTTTCCATGACCTTTCTCAATACCCATTCTCCTACCCTGAATCTTTTCAACTTGACCCGTTTGTTGAAGTAAGCAGCAACTTGGTTCTGGTAGTTTGCAAGTTGTAGTGCGGCGATTTCTCTTTGTTCCTTGACTAAGTCGTGGGTTTCAAGGTAGGCACAGTAGTGCCTGCTGGAGATGCAGCAATAGTGGCTGTGGCCTGCTTTGATTGGATAAGTTTCTCTTCCTCTAGTCCGATGATTCCATCAGCCCGAGCCATCACCTTCCTCATGTCTAATGGTGGAATTTCGATTAATGACCTACGCATCTTTGTTCCGGGCAACACCCTTCTCGGAATGCCAAAGATGCATTGTGAGAATCACATTCTTCTAAGGTGGACATCTCTTCCGTGAACCTAGTCACATAGCTTTTGAGGCTTTCGCCAACATTTTGTTTGGTGCTGAACAAGATCGTAACATCTTTTCTTGGCCTCCGATTGCAAACATATTGAGATATGAATGCCTCACATAGCTCCGTAAAACTTCCGGTAGACCTTGGTTTGAGTTGTTTGAACCAAGTTAAAGATGATCCCAAAAGACTTGAAGGGAACAACTTGCACAGAAGGGCCTCATCGTCTCCTTCGAGCACCATCTGCTGTTGGAAGTAGTAACTATACTCAACGGGATCAATCGTGCCTTCAAACAACCTAAACTTTGGTTGGATGAACTTGGCGGGTTTTTTAGCCTTCAGGATGTCCTCCGTGAATGGTGATTTGCGGATCCCTCTGGCCGCTTCTAAAGTAAGTTCCGCCGGGGTTTGTAGCTTGTATCCCTTCACAATCTTCTCAATTTGTTCTCGCAAATCAACATCTTTTACTTTTTTTCGATCCTTTTCTCTTGTGATCCTCTTCGCCATGATTTTTCATCACCTTAACACGGTTGCTGGATGGCGCTACTAGAACTACCCTCCTTATCTTCCTCTTCTGCACACTGTCTCTTGGTGCCGGCCACATTTTCCACTGCGTTTCTTGCTTCATCCTTCTTCAATGCCTCCTCTGCTGTCTTTTTTGTTTCACGTAATTCCCTTGTTAACCTTCTAAATTGTTCCATGACGAGATTGGGTTCACTACCTTGGGATTGAGACGTCGCATGTACCGATCGAGTCCCTGCGTCTTCGGAGGGATTCAGAACTTTTTGTGCGGATCCAGTCATGTTTGTAGCTCGATTTTGTTTCGTTTCCACAGACGACGCCAACTGTTGGAGCGAGATTTCTCATAAGAAGAAATGCCTCCACAATTGATCGCAATCCTCACGTTCGCCGAATCCTTTGCTAGAGATGCCCCCAAATAGTCTTCTTCTGTAGCTTACCCGGGTGGTACCTGCAAGAGATACTCTGACGCTCAAGTCAATCGATTGATTTTCTATTCTCTGGATTTTCTCGGGTTCTGATTACGTCCCTTGTTCTTTGGCTCCTCTCCCTATTTATAAGATTGCATGCTTGAGGATCAAGCACCACAACCAATCCTCATTTCCCACTTCTTTAGTGGTCATCTGTCATATGACTGCATGCTTTGGGAACAAGTGCCACGACCTGTCGCCCTCTCCCACTTCTCCTCCGTAGTGGGGTTGTTATCTAAGCACGTTCCCTTACGTCCGTATATATCTTGTGGGCCTTTTACCTTGCACAACACTTTCCCCTTGGATGATTGGTAGTGGCCCATGAGTCGAAGCCAGATTTTATCCTCCCACACGCTCACAATTACTCAATCATTTTAATCCATATCAAATACAATTCCTACTTTTTAACATATTTTTCTAATCTTTGGGCACTGCTAGATTTGGTTTGTCAAATGGTGCATAAATTTTCATACCTGCTCTGTTAATATGTGTTGGACCCAACCCACTTTTGAGGTTTTCGTATGCAATGCTGAAACATTTTGTGCTCAAAGTATATAACATTTGTCTTTTCTTTTAGATTTTTTGGTAAAGAATTTTACCAAACATTTTTTCTTCTTCTGTATTGCGTATCTCTTTGGATCCTAAGTGTAGAGTATACTTTTTTAACACTTTCGTGTCTACAGCCAGGTTATATGATCACATGCTCTGCTTTTATTTTCTTCAATAAAAACAAAATAATTCATTAATTTTAATCCATTTATTCTCATTTTGTCTACAAATCATTTTACCTCTTTGATTCTAACTTCTTGGTTCTTCAAATATTCGAATATATGCTCTATTCTACATTCTTTTATCATTTTCAAAAAAAAAATCTAATTTAACATTCTGAAACAACAAGAAACAACGTCGCAGCAACGCAAAGGCACTACTGCTGGTAAATAAGAAAGTGGGAAATTACCCGGCCCATTTAAACTTTTTGGGTCGATTTGAACGGGTCAAGTTTATTTCATCTCTCTCGTCTGTATTCTCTGCAACGTTGGACTCGTAAGACTAATAAGGGCGACACTCTCAGCTTTGGATCTGAGACTCTGAAATTAAACGAGAAAGGAAAGAAGAAGGTAGAAGATACAAGAAGAAAGAAGCACTGTGAGAAAGTGAGAAATGGAGCAGGTTCGGTCGGCAATGGAGGATCACATGGATCAAATGGCAGATCTCGTCCAGAAGTTATCCGCAGAGTTACGTTCGGGTCTTGCGCCTGCTGTAAACAATTTCTTGGGTTTTTTCCACGCTATCGACTGGACGGTACCTCTATTTTATCTCTCTCTTTCTCTCTCTCTCTCTCTCTCTCTCTCTCCCTCCCTCTCTCTGTGTTTGATTTCCCAGAAAGTAAACAAATTTGAAAAGAAAATCTAATTTAATTTATGGGTTATTGGCAGGAACCTTGGTTGATGGGTTTAATGGGCATGCATCTTGTGCTTCTGATAGTAGCCATCACCTCCAGGAGGAATCTCAACTTCCAAATGTTTCTGTTCCTTTTGGCATGTAAGTTGGTTTTATTACTATTATTTCTTACATATGATTTTATGTTTCGATTAGATTGATTATGTTTGTAGCTTCTGGTGTAATGTGTTAATTTTGGTATAATATGTAGGTTTATGTGTTGTTTGCGAGATTGTGTAATGTGATTGCGTCTTCAGTCAATCTGTGGAGGATTGTTCTTCCCTTACAGCAATAGAAATATATATAGTAGTTTTTTGATGACACAGATAATGGGTTATGGCTAAAATTCTTTCATTTGGGTTAGATTCACAGCATGTCTTTAGTCCTCTTGTGAGTGAAGCCGCATTTTTACGCTTGTGACTAGAATAGATCATTGATGAAACATATAATGGGTGGTGCTAAAATACTTTCATTTGGTTAGATTCACGGCTTGTCCTTAGTTCACTTTGCATACTTTTTAGGATCATAATAAGTTGATTCCAGAAGCAAAAAATCATGATTGAGAATGGTAATTGGAGATGACCTCTGCAAGATCTAAGCAGCTCGTCTTGGTTCAGGCTGCTTTTCTAGAAATAATTGATGGTGGTGGTAGAGAAACCATCATTTTATGGTCTTGGTTCAAAAGGTGGAAAATTTGCCTATAAAGAAACCTGCTGTTCTACTGAACAAGTAATTTGGGTGGTTTATACGGTTACACAAGTCCATAACTCATTGCATTTTCAGCACATAAATTAGTCGGTTTTGTATGGTTTTAATGAAACTTGTGATATGGTAGCAGAACTCTTCTTTTCTTTGATTGCATTTTCAGCGAAATAATTTTCGATTTATGTCCTGCTAGATGTAGCCCATAACATTGGATAAAATCAAATGATTATGATTGACTCCACTGACACAAGTTTTCACTGTCTATTAGTGAACTTGTGCTTCAATAGTTCGATGTGAGACTTTCAAATTTAGGATATGGTTTCAGGATCTTGTTTGATGAGGGAACCACAAAACAGATGAATAAACACGACCAATCTTTAATTTTTTTCTAGTTGTTAGGCAAGATTCCGTAGGAGCCTTGACCAAGCTTTATATCAAACTGGGGAAGCAGTGCCAAAGGTTTGTTCACGAATTCCTTGGCCTCGACTGGACACAACTTTTCTCAGAAGGAGGTTATAGCAAAAATATTTCTGGCAATTATTTAATCACTTGTGTGCTCTTTTAAATTGAAGCTTATAATATAAATAGATTGTTTGTATTGCATGTGCTGTGTGATTTCTCCAGAATATGTATGAATCTCTTCCGTTACGAGTTCTGGTTATTTAGGAATTCCATTGAAACATCTGATTTAATTCTTGGAACTAGCACTGCAAATAATAGCATTTTGCTAGGCTTGTTTCTCTTTAGGGCTTTGGAAGAATTATTTTATACTTTATCAGAAGATTGATGTTTTAGTAAAATTATGCATGAATCTTCCGACTAAGATTTCATGTTCTTCATACCTTTTGTAGAAGCTTGTCAATGGAGAATTGTAGTAATTTCCAGTTTTCGTGATTGGTTGGAAACTTTGCCAATTCAGTCACCAACCAGTACTTATCACAAGGGGTTATAAATTTTTTAATTTTAAGTGCATAGAATTATGACATCAGCGTTAAGTACTGATGTTCTTTTGTGCTGCTGTGAGTATGAAGGCGACGAAGAAATAATTTTCATGTCTTTTGGGGTTTGCTTTTTAGATACTTATACATGTTCCTCAGCATGTCAACTAACATATGTAATATGTTCCTGTTGCCTATCTAGATACTTATATGTGGAAATTGTTTTGCAGTGGCAGGAGTATATCTTGCAGAGAGGCTCAATAGTTTCCTGCGTGCGAACTGGAAGAGCTTTGCCGGTCAGGATTATTTTGATGAGGGTGGAGTTTTTCTCTCAACGCTCTGGTCTGGGCCTCTTCTCGTCATTGCAATCATAATTTTGGTTAGTATGTGCGATTGATATTCATCTATTATTCTATCTTGTCTGATTCCGTATTTTCAATTCTTTGTGTTAACTTGAATCTAATTTCTTTCGCAGGTAAACACACTCTTTTCCTTGTGTCGCCTGATTGTTAAGTGGAAAAGAGCTGAGCTAAGACATCGTGCAAGGCTTTCTCAAAGTAAGCAGGATTGAGCTCCTCTCGTGCTGGATTGCCGGTCAAATCAATATGGGGTTTGTCCTTTCATGGCTTTTTATTTCAGAACTCCTTGTGTCTAGATGATGCTGTAGTTACAAGTTAGATGGGAGTTGGGATAAATTTTCACCATGCGAGTCATGAATTATGTAAAGGACCAACTAAGCAATGTGCTTTAGATTCCCATATCATAATCCTTCTTTCTGTAACATCAAATGTTGACCTATCTTTTTGTACGATAACTGATCTCAATCCGTGTATGATAAGTTTTGGCTGTTAATTTCTTGTGGATGGGATCCTGTACTAGGATAACAGCAATTTCTTTTGTCGTCTCCGGCGGCAGAAATGGCCACAGCTGTTTAATTCCAGCTCGGCTTGAGTCCCCGTCTTCGACATTTTCCGAGTGAAATATTTATTTTGGTCAGTTTTAAGCAATAACGAAACTATTGGCCTTCTGTCGGAAGTCTGCGAACGGTCAAAAGCTTCAGGATTATAACTGCAAAGAAAGTTTTCTGGTGAAGAGGCTAAATTTGAAACTGCGAATTAGTACCTTCTTGTTAAGGGCAGTCACTCTGTGCACTCGAAGTCCCGAGTTCGAATTTCCCCCTCTCAATATTCGCTTGTGTCAAGTACTCACGCCCCTTCTATTTCAAATTTTGTGAGAAGTTTTTTTGTGTTGTGGCAACAACGGAAGCAACATTGTCATCCACTAGACAACGAGCTCGCTCTCGTTTGCTGAACTTGCGCCTCTTGCACTTGTAACAACATAGTCCAACATCAAAATCCAAAGCAGATTACTTAAATCGCCGTCCTCCACTCTCTTTTTGTGATTATCTTTGGAGTTTACTGAAACAATCACAAATGAAGATACAAGCTCAAACAGAATAGAACCAACAAGACAGAGCCAAAACGCAACCAAACTAGTTACTTTATTAGGTTCAATTTTCGATATTAAGGGTGAAGTGTATTAAACCAGACCGTTCTCACCCTTCTCTTTAAAGCATCTGCACCAGTTGGTAAAAGGCAAGGGCAAAGACAACAATGTTGCCCTCTAACCCAAAAAATCCTCTCCAACAGTCCAATAAACCAAAGGTAAGTGGTGGGCCGACAACTTCCAGCCCAAATGCCCAGCCTTCTCAAGCTCAATCTACTGTTTTCGCGCAAGGTGACGTCAATTTTAAATTAAGTTTTTAATAAACAAACTTTTATTTATTGAATTACTGTGTATCCCTTTGTATATTTTTTAGGCTTTGAATAAAACAAACTTTTTTATTTATTTATTGAACATTTCTTTTTTTTAAAATCTTTACAATTTTGAATCAAGTTTCAAAATCCAAAAATTATTAGTGCAATAGCCGTTATATAATTGAAAAAAATCACAACGGTCGCCTTTTTGAAATAAAACCCCACCACAACCTCCCAAATATTTTCCCGAGGAATTACAACTATTCGTCATCCCTCTCTCTCTCTCTCTAAACCCAGTTGCCCTACGCAGAATCCAAATTCTTCAACAAAGAACACGGTCATGGCGAACGAGAAAGTGAACAGGAAGCTGAACGGAGAAGGAAAGGAAGAAGAAGAGGAGCCGAAAATCCCAGTCTTCACAGTCCTCAAGAACGGAGCCATTCTCAAGAACATCTTCATCGTCAACAAATCCCCGCCCCTGCTGCACTCCAAACCCATCTCCACCGTCCACCGGAAAACCTATGAAGAAATCTTGGTCGTCGGCCGACACCCGGATTGCAACATCGTCTTGACTCACCCCAGCATCAGCAGATTCCACCTCCAAATCCTCTCCGACCCTTTTTCTCAAAAGCTCTTTCTCACCGATTTGTCATCAGGTAAGAAATTGGGGTTTTTATTTGGCATTTCAATTAAGTTTTCTTTGCATAAAATAAGAAAATCCCAGAAATTTATAGGACCTGTTGGGTTAATTGGGTTTTTGTTGCAGTACATGGGACTTGGGTTTCAGACAAGAAGATCGAGCCGGGAGTTCGAGTGGAGCTGAGCGAAGGGGACACGCTCAGGCTTGGTGGTTCCAGCAGGGTCTACAGCTTGCATTGGATTCCTATGAGGCAGGCCTATGATTTCGAAACACCTTTTGTGCCATTCATAGCGCACAACGAATATGAAAATGCAGAACAAGTATTGGATCAGGTAAGTATATACGTGGTTTGTTTAATTTAGACACGAATTTGAAGAATGTCCAAAAGATTGCTTGTTGGATTGTTCCAGGAAACCAAGATTTTTTTTTGAATGGTTTTTTATTCTGTTGTTCGTTCAATCTGTTTCGTATTTCTTTATTCGAATTGACTTGAAATGAATAGGGTCCAAAAGTTGCCAATGAACTTTATACAAATTTTCGTTTGCGTTTTCTATTTGGGTTTGTGCAGAGTGAGAATTCTTTGCCAGTTGAGAACAAAGAAACTGAATCTCCAGATTCAAATTCCGTGGGTGTAGAATCGTTGTTCTCCGATGAAATTTTAGGAGTCATTGGGAAGATGGAGGTCCCATCAGCACCTCCACTGCCGGAAAATGCCGTTTACTCAATTTTTGATCCAGGCGAAGAAGGGAGCGAGAACTTATCAAAAGGTAGTGGTGAAGAGAATGAAGTCTCAAGTTTCTGGGCATTTGGAATGGAAAACCAGCGCCTACTTCACTGTGTCACAGAAGAGGTTTCTGAAAGAGAGAACCCAGAGAGTTCCTTTTTTACTGCAGAGGAAGGGGAAGCTTGTCCTGCTGTGCAAGTGTCAGAGGAAAGTGAGAAGCAAAGCCAATTGGGAAAAGACTATGGAAGGACTACTTTTTTGAGTTCACCTCTTCTGACTGGGGAAATCCTTGAGGAGACCAAAACTCAGCTAGATGAGAAAGAAAACCTGACCCCGGAATCAAAACCAAACTTGCCTGCCAACCTGAATGCTGAAAGTTCTTCTGGTGAAAAGGAAGAGGCTGATCATGCTGCGCAAGTACCTGAGAAGTACCAAAGCTCTTTGAGAAAAGATCAGGGACAGTTTGACATTTTATGTCTTTGTTCTGGACCTCGGGTGATGGAGAACTCAACCTTGCCGACTGTAAAAGTACTTGGGGAGGACAAAGATGAGCAAGTTCCAGAACAAAGCCTGACCCCAGAACCAAAATCAAGCTTGCTGATTAGCCAAAAGTTTGAACATTTTGATGAAAAGGAAAAGGAAGCTTATGCTGCTGCTTCTGTACCAGAGAAAATTGAGAACCAACGCCCATCGAGAAAAGATAATGGACAGACTGATATTTCATGTCTTTTTTCTGGACCCCTTGTGATGGAGAACTTGTCGTTGCCAATCGGGGAAGTCCTAGGGGAGATCAAAGATCAGAAAGTTGTAGAAGAAAGCCTGACCCTAGAACCAAAATCCAACTTGCCTCTTAACCGTGAACTTTGAGCATTCTGATGAAAAAGAATGTCTATTGGATGTGAGTTATGGAGAATTGGAAAACAAAAGCATGGCATCAGAAGATTATGACAAAAGGGATTCAAGCATTTCTTCTGCATCTCTTGTGACAGAATCTGGAACCTCATCTATGTCGGAGTTAATAAATAACAAAGAGGGGCAGACCCCACAATCTCTCTTTACTGCAGCAGGACAGCCTGAATCAGAACTATGCGAAAGCCCTCCACTGAGATCTGAGAATAAATCAAGTACGATGATGGGAAGCATTTGGGAAAGAAGAGGTAAACCTGCTAGTGCTGTAAAGCTTCAAACAGATAAGAGCAGAGGAAAACCTGCAGAAGCTGCGTGTGATGATGGTATTGAACAGGAGGGGGAGATCTTTACTCCAGACAAGGAAAATTTAACCCCAAATACTCTTCGACTAAAGTCTTTGAAAAAGAAGGGTAAGATAGAATTTAAGCATTCGAAATCAAGCACATCATCCTCGTTGCAATTAACTCCAGTCACCAATATCAGTCAACAAGAGCTGATTGAATCCCCAGGAAAAGAGAACCAGGTAATGAAGGAACTCCAAGAAATAAAATTAGCAGGAAATACTTCTGGAAATCAAGCTAGGGCGGAGAAAAAGTTGACGGTAACAAAAGTAAGAACAGAAAGGATTCCTTTTCAATCAATAAAAAGTTCTGAGGGCAAGAGCTTATCAGAAGACTCGGTCCCTAACACAGCGACAAGAAGCAGCACATCTTTCTCTTACACTCAAAATAAGGAGGTCACCAATGCAGGCTCTGTAAGTTGGTCAACGCTTGGTTAAATTTTTCTTATTCCCACAGCTCTAACTAGCTTTATCGAGCATAGACATAAGACATGTAACTCAAAGTTAATTTTCAGAATAAATCTGTTGGAGAAGGAAAGAGGAGCTGGACTATGGTTGCAGACGCTACTACTCTTCTCGACAAGGAATCAAGGAAGTCATTGCAGTTTCTACAAGGTCTCAAGGGGACTCAGTTAATCATTCCAAGAATGGGTAATGAAATTTGAATTACGTGCATATTATTTGTTAGGTAAAGTTGTTCCTGATGATTGTGAATGAACTCGCTTATTGTAAACAGTCATACGGGAACTGGATTGCTTGAAGCAACGTGGCAGCCTTTTCAGAAAGAAAACAGAGGCTGAATTGGTGCTGGAATGGATCAAAGAGTGCATGGTTAAAACAAATTGGTGGATCCATGTCCAGAGCTCAATGGAAGACGGAAGACTGATTGCTCCAACCCCTCCTGCTTCGCCGCAGTCTCTATTTAGCGAGAAGAGCTGGGGCTTTCCTTCTAGGACAACGGGCTCATTGACTTTTTCGAGGTGTGGGAGCATGATGGACCTTGTATCACCCGTCCCCAGAAGACCATATCCTAGATTGTGCTCTTTTATATAGAAGGATGAAAAGGAACGATGGACAACTTGTCCTTCTCAGTAACGATGTTACCCTGAAGATCAAAGCCATGGAAGAGGTAATGATACTACAACTAGCACTCCAACCATTTTCTCCTTCCACACTCGACGCACCCTTGACGCATAATGCAGGCATTTTAAGAATGATTATGGTTGTGTTTCAGGGTTTGCTCTGTGAGACAGCTGAGGAATTTCGCGAGGGTCTGGTGAACCCACTTTCTGAGAGGTTTTTGTGGCCTGACAGTTCTCCCTGTGGGCGTACGTGGTCTTACTTAGGAAACGGAGCTTTGAGAGAAAAGTACAATAGCTGCGGCCCTCTGAAGAAGTCGTCAAAAGGAGAAGGTGCAAAGGGTTTGAAGCTCATTCTACACCACAATGCTCATTACGGGCAGATCCGTTAGATGAACCAAAAACAATTTTCATTTACGGTCTCAAATTGTAATGGCGTTGTTACGTTGCAAAATGATGATCGAGTTGTTGACTTGTTTGTGCTTTATCAAGCACTTCAAACTTCTTTATTTCAACTGACTTGATCAATAACTTGAGGAAATATATGCCTAACATATTTGGCGAACCGATCCTATGGGTGCGCTAACAAAGTTCCGTAGAGTACTCAATCTGTGTAGGGGTAGGGTGGGTGTCTAAAGATTAGGGTTAGGTATGACATCTTTTGCGACTTAGGAAAAGTTGGTGAAACTGTTTTCACTCTCTGGGACTGCGACAGAGATGCCAAATTACTCTGCAATGTGAGGATGCGGAGTGTTGTCCCAGATTGGAAATTAAGGGTAAAGCTTTGATCATTTGTTTACAAAGATGCAAGTTATTTGATCAAGTGGTTGTTTGCAGGTGTGCGAAGTTGAAGACCCTTTTCGAGGGCTTGCTTATTGTGGTTCCGTTCTTGCTGACACCCCCTAACCACGGTGTAGATTTACTACGCTATTAGAATCGGGACATGTGTTTGAAGGTTTAACTATGGTAAGAATCTACAGAAGCAAATAATTAAGTGCAAAATATGTTATGGCAGTGAATTCATATCGAATATCGATTGAAGATGGATAACAAAATGCAGCCTAGTAAAACTACTATGGGAGTTACAAGAACTGTAAAGGAAAGTGGTAAATAGAAAGAAACAAAAACACCATCTCTGAAAGAATTCCAAATATGAAATGCAGAATAAAACCGATGAACACGAGAGCTAACAGAATATAAATGATGCAGAATTGATAGACTAAAGTTAAAGGATCGCTAGAGCCTGCTACAACTTCTATTAAGCTACAAACTAGTAAACACCATCAATTATTCAAGCTTAAGAAATCACATAATATATGGGATCACCTAAAACTTACAAATGTCAAAGAAAATCATACACTAGTGGCGAGCAATCATTAGTGTCGTTGAAGATTGTTGAAATTCGACTCCCCTCCAGTTTTGTCAGTGTAATTACAAGACACTGACATTAGAAAAGAGAATGGACTCTCTGAATCCTCAAACGGGGGTCGAGGCAACTCATTAAACCCATCAAAGTTACAGGTTTCAAAATTCAATGGAGAGAAGTAACTAGTAGGATCATCAATACTTTCTTTCACGTCCATGAGATTTTGAGATCCACCACCTCCGCAAGGAGCAGTGGAGCCAAAACTGAAGTTAATGCTTCCAACTCTGTTTGACGCTTCACTGCCTTCCCCGTGGTCATTGGCCCTAGGGTTCCTTTTGGTTCATCAGGGGGTATGGCAGGAGTGTGACCTTGGAAAAGGGCAATATGGCCAAAAAGCTTGTCTTTCCTTGAGAAGGTAGTGCCACAAGAACAAAGCCACTTGTCCTTACCACAATGCTTCTCATGAGTTTTCAGATCTGCAATAACGGAGAACTTCTTGCTGTTGCATCTGCTGCAAGTGTAACTTTTGTCACAGTGGGTTCTCTTGTAGTGATTCTTGACACATAAAATAGTCTTCAAGGGCTGAAACTTTTTGTGATCCTTGTTCCGCTTGCAACCAGCATAAGGGCATGAATACCTTTTGATAAGTGTTGGTTCGGAGCTGGATTCCTTGTTGGGCTTTGCAAGTGCTGCTGGGGTTTTGTACTCGTCTCCATGACCTCTCATGTGCATCCTCAAATTTGCATCCCGCTTGAATCCCTTTCCGCAAATTGCACAGAAGTGAGTGTGAGGTGCAAGGATTTCTTCTTTCTCTAACTGTAAAATTTCATAGCTACCAGGCGGAAGGTTCTCACCTTCATCAGCATCCTCTTCATCTTTTGTTTCATGTTCTTCAATGTTCTCAGTCCCAAATTACTTATTAGATCAGTCTGGTTGGCCTGGTCAGCTAATTTGCTTCCGCTATTAATTTGCAACTTGCCACCCAAATCATTCCCTGCTGCAGAAGGAATAAATGACCTACCAAGCTGCCCAAACTGTCCTGTAGAAGGTATCGTGGTGGAGAGTGTATGCTTCACAGATGGTAGAAGGCTACCTGCTGTAGAGATCAACTGAGCAATTATTGAAGTAAGATCGGCAGTTATGAGCTGCTGTTGCTGAGCCACAAGTTCATCTGGTCGTCCTAGAACTTGACCTCTCCGGCCAACAATCAAATGCACTAAATCCTGAAGCTGATGGATCTTTTCTTCCAGGAAAGATAGATTGTTCAACGTCGATCTTGGATCCCAGCCTTGGATTTTATTAGGATGCTGCACGTCATGCATCCTACCATCTTCTCGATCTGATATTTTTGTATCGTTATTGGAGTTGCAAGTATGTGACGCTTGCGAATCAGAAGGCTGGTGGAATTTCTGGAAGGACGGTTCCACCCCCATTTCATAATCTAAAACAGAGGGACTTTCCCACTTCTGTTGATGCTGCCGTGATTTGAAACTGGTAAAAGGTTGATGATCTGAGGAAATCGTATTTGTCACATCATTCCCAGTGGAAGGATTCTCCCAAGTGTCCCATTGCCTTTCTTTAGGATCCATTTCTCAACTTATATCCTCACCTGATGTATCAAAATCCAACACCAATCCAGCTTAATATACGAGACAAGAGAATCGTCATTGTAAATCAAAGAAATCGCAAACTGAAATGAATCATGCAATTAAGATATAGCTGCATCAGACACGCAGCCGAAAGTCTGAACAAATTCAATACCCATTTTCCCTCTGATGCTATTTTTAAGAAAACTATCATCTTCCTCAACAGATTTATTCATGAAATAATTGAAAAATAAAATAACTTTCACCATTAACGGTCATTGATCCCCACCTCCCATCCAGAATTCAACTTAGTTTGCCAAAAACAATTTATATTGATTGATTAGGATTTAGGAGCTGTACGTGCACACGCAACCCCAACTTTAACGACGCACTTATTGCTAATTAAAAAATTAAAGGCCAATTCAAGATCCCAAAATCTCAATTCAAGACAGCTTAAGCTGAATTATTTTCACTAAACCTAATTAAGAAACCCAAAATCCTATCAAATACGATTCATAATTCCCAAAAGCAGCTGAATCCATTTCAGTTAAACAAAGCAGATTAGAAAAGATTCAACCACATACAAAAATGTAAAATTAAAAAAAGTTACAAATTAAAAATTTACCAGAAACTGGAGAGAATGGAGGAAAACACAGATAAAACTCAATCCTTGGATATATTAAAAAATCTATACATATATATATATATATATATATATATATATCTATATACACGTGTGTGTGTGTGGGTGTGTAAGAACCCTAAAAAAGAGGTAAGAAAACTCACCAGATTGAAGAGTGAATGTGCTTATATGCTCTTTTGTCTCCTCTCCTCCTCCTGCATCTGTATATCAGCAATCTCTGCTACAGTTCACAATTTACAGTCTAACACGGTGGGGGCTGGATCTGTTTGTCAACCCCATCAATCAGACCGTCCATTTCTGGAACATAATTGATTAATGATTATGCTAGTGGGACCCGCTCATCATTTTGTTAGACATTTAATTGTTCACCGTTCAGGGCCGTGATCAGATCTTGCTTAGTTTTGTACGGTTGAGATTTCTCACAGAAGGAGGCGAAGTCTGATCGGAGATGTGGGGCCGCTGGAACTCTGGACGAATTTTTCATAATAAATAAAGAGAATTGTTATTGGCATTTCAAAAATTTCATTCTACATTTCAAACTTTCTATATTTGAAAAGAAAAATACATTTGTGAGGAGTGTAGAATGAGATTTTTAGAATGCGAATAATACTTCCCTAAATACAACTAAATCGCAATTTTAAGTGACAGGAAATTAATTATTCAAGTTAGACAAGGAAGATAAAGAGAAATTGCCCAAATGTAAAATGTTAGTTTAGTTAAGCACGACAAGTTGCACAGGTAAAGTGCGAAAAAAAGGTCTTAAGTTCAACTTTTGTAAGCTATGAATTTGCTTGATTGTGACAACAAATAGGATAATATTCTCAACTAACCTTCTTCAGATCCGAAAGGAATGAATAAATGTGATCCGACATTAGTTATCTCTTTTTTATTAAAAAGAGAGAGCTGGTTTATTTAGTGTTTGAGGCATTGAGCACCTAAAATGAGAGATGCAAAATATTTTGAAATGGAAAGGTTATATTGGGACCGAAAATTTCTCCAATAACAAAATGTAAATTATTTATCTTTAGAAGAAGATAAAAACAAAAAGAGAAATTTTATTTGAACTCATCTAATATTTTTCTACACCCAACTTCCTCTATAAACCCATATTATTTTTAATTAAATAACTAATATCTCTTTAAACTCAAATTTATTACCTAAAGTACCCTCCCATACCCAATTAAAATGCATATTTATCTTTACACCCATTATAAAATAAAATCTCAAAAAAAACTCGAAAGTCAAAAATCATCTGAGTCCTTCATCTCCCCTCCCACCTTGAGCTATTTAGATACAGAGCTTTGTTTTTCAAAATTTTCTCTGCATTTTTTAGCTTCACTACATCTTATTTGATTTTTTGGTAAAGTTTCAAATTTCCACTGGAGCTCCGTATAGCATTATAACATTTTCCATGGCTGCTGTTTTTTTATTTATTTGTGTTGTGGAGAACAAATGTCAATTAGAACGGCAACAAATGCAAAATGAAGTTGAAGTGAAAGGAAGAACAAATGTCAATCAGAATGGCAACAAATGTAAAATGAAGTGAAAGGTCCTCCAATCCCTATGGGACATGAGCCATGGATTCATGAATCATGCCACACTCGTTGACTAGGACGTGTATTGCCTGTCCAGATGCCTCCTTCTCCACACTACCTTGTCTTCTTGCTTCATTTGTGTCTTGTTTTTAATCAGAGATTTCTTACAACAGAAATAGATCCTCTCCGGATTTCTTATACCAAGGTTACCGGATTAAATGATTCGGACTTCTCAAATTTTATCCAACAGCTCATCTGTTTTGACTCCTTAAAAATTGTAATAATTTTTTGTCGTTGGATGAAATTTGAAAGATCCAAGTTACTCAATCCGGTGGCCTTCATGGAAGAGATCCGGAGAAGATCTCTTTCCTCTTACAGCCGAAGCATCTAGGCTAAGTTGACAACAACAATACATTGAATGGTATTCACATATATTTTATTATTTTAAAGAGTAATAGATATGTTTTTTATTTATTTTATTTTTTTGAGTTTTAAGAAACAAAGAACGCATGATATATTTTTATCAGGTTAAATTAGAAACTGAGTACTCACTAGTGAATATTTACGTATATCTAGTTAATAAGTAACTACATGAGTAGTGCAGAGTCACTAAGTATATTATTTTCAAATAACTCATTTGCAGTAGTTATATACAAATTCATGTAGTTATATACAAATTCTCACAAATTCATGCATTGCATCTAGCAGACTCAAATCTCTTTATCTAATTTTTGTTGATATTGCGACATTGGAGAAGAGAGATTTAAACTAAGTGACACATTGTGGCAGTTATAACTACGCATCAAAATCGTTATTAAGATGCCTCTCAACTTGATACTTTTGCTTACAAATAAAGAGAAATACTACTGCAGTATACGTGACTTTATATCTATAATTTATAGTGCATTTTTTGTGAACGTAGCCTACAAACTGCAAAGTAGTAGCTTGTGGCCTAATCTTCGCACAAAAGGCATTGTCCGGTTACCTAAATAACTTTTTCACAAGAAGTATCAAAGGAATAAGAAAGTTTCACAAGGAAAAACCATGGACCACATTCATTGATTTATGCTAATAGTTGACATAACACACCCATATAGACACAGGTAAGAATAAATTTGACATAAAAAACATTCAAATGCACCCGCCGGGCGGCATTGGTACATTTGCATATGTAGCTGAGATTTGCAGTTCCAAAACTTTGAGTTAAATAAACACACGAGCTCATTCAGCACTCACTCATGCACTATAACCATCTGACCACATTGCAATCTACTGCTGCGACGTTTCTCATAGCCACTGTACAACAAAATCTGAGATCCCAGAAACAGGAGGAGAAAGGCATATGAGAAGCAATAAAAATGGGAGAGGGAGAGCAGAAGAGAGAGAATACAGGTAGTGATAACTTACAGTACATTCCGCAATCAGAAGCACAAAAGTATATCAGTCTGCACATTGTTGTTCTTCGATTTCAGGATTTCTATATGGTAGCACATCCCTGTACATTAAATTTTGCTAAGCCCTCGGGTTAAAAGGATATAGTAGTTCTTCGGACCACCCACTGTACAAATTTTAATGGGAAATAGGTCATGGGGAAAAAATTATTTACATGATTATTGTTTATGTGCTAATCCTAGAACAATGGCCTATAAAAGTGAATTAATTCTTTATAAAAGCTTTCAAATGATATCAGTAATCTTAAGCTCAATTGATTAAGATTTCAGAAGATATACTTTGGAGATGAAAATTTTAAGGCCCATTTAATAACCATTTCACGTTTAGTCTTTTATGTTTAATTTTTGGTAAGATATAGGAGGAGAAGAGATGAAATGAGGTGGACAGATGGTGAGAGAGATGTAGAAGAAATGTATATGGAATGGTACACAACAGGAACCTAAAACCAAAAACTAAATACAAAATTAAGTTGTTTTCACACTCCTCCCACCCTTTCCGAGTGGTGATCCAAAATAAAAGACATGAGCTCTTATATTTCCTAAATCTCTCCTTACACAAATCCTAACATCTGACACAACTGGAATGACCCATACTCTAAACATTAGATAGAGGGATTTGTAATGACTAGATGTAATGCACTTCGCGGGGTTTGTAAATGACTGCATGGAAGAAGTCATTTGAGAATCCCTTGTTTAGTGGTAAGTAGAAAATATTCATGAGCTCTATCAAGAAGACGCATGACGAATATAAGCTTATGTATATAGATTATGTTGACAAATAATGAATTAAACAATCTGAGAGCCAGGTGAATTATAAAAATGAACAAGGTTGCATCATGGTAATGCATATATATACATGACAAATTCAATATCTTGATGTAAAGAAATGAATTATATTGAATAAGGACGTGTGTTAGACAAAGACACTGTAAATTTGTTGCCTTTATATTGTGTATCTATCTTACTCATACAATAATTCATTTTTTTCTGTAGATGATATTTTGTTCATGCACTTTATAGTATTTCAAAATTTCAGAAAAGTCATAGTTATGTAACGGACATGTAGAATGAAATTTATAAAATTTGAGAAATGTACAGGCAAGACAAATCAGTAAATTAAAGACCTCATCCTCAAAAAGTACCGCCCCACCTCCCCAAAACCCCAATGGGAAACAAGGAACAGATAATGAACTTGTTTCTGTCATATGGAAAGTTAAAAGAAATTACCTATCAGCTTAGCCATTTGAAACAGATGCTCTTTGATGACGGAAATCCCGGGTTTCTTCCAATAATTTATAGAAGTTAGACAGAGTTGCAGAATCATTGCTTGTATCTCTGGTAAGCAACCACTCTTCTCTAAGCTGAACATTGACATCCCTGCAGAAAAGTGCGACTCAGGAATATCAAGAACTAGGGATTACTATAGAGCAAGGTAATAAGATAACTCTGAATAACAGGATTATCCCTGGAATTTAATGATAAAAGAAAATTAACACAGCAAGCATAGCAACTACCTCCTAAGGGAAAGAATCTCGTAGTTCCTCCTTAGGTAATCAGCATGTTTTGTTAGAGCATCTTGAGCATACTGTCTGCCTACAGTTCTGACTGCAGCTGTGTTTAGTAGGTTTTCCAATGAACCGTGCTTTTTCAAGAGCTTTAGGGCAGTCTTCTGACCAAATCCAGGAGCTAGATGTTGGATTCCAGGAACACCATCAGCGTGATCACCCACAATGCACCCTAGACATTAAGTTAACAGAATTACAAAACATGTTATGGAAGTGAATACATATTACATTAAGAGGGGCTTGGTTTATCAGACAGAAATGCGGCCTAGTAAAACCACTCTGGGAGCTGACAACAGTAAACGAACTGACAAATTAAGAAGAAATAATCACTGTCTCCCCTTATGTGTATGTTTGCATGTGATCAAATGTTTTACAAAACATTGCAGTACAGTTGCTGTGCAAATTTACTTCCGTTAATAATTATCTGAATATGTCAGTGTTCACCCTACAACATCCTAGCGAATTTAATGAGTATTTATAATTAAGCCATAAAAACCATAGACTATATGAATCAATGTGTCTTATATAAAAGTGAACATTCACAGATATAGCATTAGCATCTATGCAGAAAACTGTCCAGGATAAGATACATCAACATCATAACTGGCTCTGGAAACAAAACTGGAAAACATTTATCATTTATGAAACCACCACATTATAATTATACTTACTAAGGCTCAAATCACAGCATGGATCACAGTTATACTGAGCAATGTAGTGCTTAAGAGTGTAAAACGACCAGCGTTCTAACTCATCCAGGGGCACAACAAGCTGGACATCTTCCGAAAGCAATTGCTTAAAATCTTTATCAGGAGAGGCAATCACCACCCGATATCCTGTTTGAAGAACTTTCCCAACAAGTGTAGCTATAACATCATCAGCTTCATGACCTTCTACTTTTATGACCTGCACCACTTTATGTTTAAAATAACGAAAAGCAGAAAACCAAAATATTTGAATTTTATCAGCTACAGGCCTTTTTGAGAGATTTCATGTTTTAATCTTCAATTCCACTAGCTTCAGGCATGGCTTAAAGAATCCAATATGATATGAAGTATCCAGACCAATAAAAAATTATATATCAAACGACTCAACAGTTAAAAGCATACAATTTTAAAATAGAGAGCAAACTGGTTATTGAATTTTTATTCAAACAACTAGAATAAAGAAGGTAAGACTTATGGTTCCTGTATAAAAGGGCAGCCTGTTGTATCCCGTCTTAATGAACAGCATTCTTCACCAACTTGTTGTGAAGGTGCAAGACTTTATGAGTAAAGAAGCAAGAATTAGGTATGTGCGCTATGCTGACGATATAGTTCCTTGCCCGTTCATAGATACAAGTATATCATGTTTATATAGGAACTCATTTGAAACTGATTCAAATGAGTTCAAGGATTATTCTCTTTCTTATAAAGTGATGGTTGTGTTAGCAGTAGTAAAATGAATTTGGTCCAGCTTTAGTTACTTGTTAGGTAGTCCTACTTGAGAGGTCTTAGCTAGTTTTGCTAGTTGGTGGATTTCTTATCCACTTGTAATTCCTTCTATTGATTCAATAAAATTCTATCGTTTCTTCTCAAAAAAAAAGAGAGTTTACTTATAGTTATACGTTATGTTTGGTGCGCAGGATATAATTGACAAATGTGAAAGAATTACATTAGACTGGAATCCATTAGATCCTGTATCTGTATTACGTGTAGTATCAGATATGAGCTCCAAATAAGAATGGGTTCTACAAAAGATAAAATCATTACTGAGACTTCATTAAAAATATTATAAGGGAGATAATGCTTGTTGCAAGAATATAAAAAGTTGGTAGTGGTGGTAAGTGGTGGCAAGTGGCAACTGAATCAACAATGATCATATAACCACAGTGGTGATAGTGGGGAAAACAGCATCAGTGTAGGTGGTGGGGTGTTAATTCCTTGGTCGTTTTAATGCCTTGGCGGTAGCAATAAAGGTGGAATAAAGTAGTGTGTCGACAATGAAAATGACGATAACAACAGTTGGTCACATTGGCAGTGATAGTGCTAGTAATAATGTAGTTCAACTGTGGTAATCCTAGATACAGTAATCCCACCCTCCGATGGAATTTTTTATCCTCTATGTGGTGGACTTCAAAGTACACAGAATTTCCATAACCTTTTTCAATTGCAGAACCAACCACTAGATATGCATACAAGTTTTCTATCTGTAAATGCAGTCTTTATTTACTGGAAAAGCTTTACAAGAGCTTTGTGCATTTTTTTCCTGTTAAATTTAGAAATTATTGAAGCACAGCAGGTTTGGTGAATCTTTAAAAGTTATAAATCTTATTTGGTATTCCAGGTCGAGTTTGCGATTCATCCTTTGCTGGCATAGAAGAATTGTTAGTAGCCTTTAACGAAGTGGAGCCTTCTATGGTCAATTAACAGACCAGTTGTTGAGATGGCTCTTTGATTAGTCTCGTACGATCCATCTCTTTCTTTACTCTGTTAGAATTTTTTTGTCACTTTATAATAAACATCATGTTAATGTTTGTGTACTTGGTAGTTGCCCCTCAGTGTTTACTATTAAAAAGTTAACTTTGATTAATGCTTCCAGCTCTATAAATAGATCCATATTTGCTCTAAAGATAATATTACAACCTAATGTAATGATACGAAAATAGAGGTTCACTCACAGGCACATTGCATTTTCTAAGAACATTGGTGATGACTCCATGTGACCTTCCAACATGCCCCTTTGAAAACTGTCTTGTGAATTTCCACCTGTGTGCTTTATAAGATGGTAATAACTGTCTGCGGTGCTCACTTCCTCCTTCGGCATCAACAACCTGCAAGTGCAGAATTTAGAAAAAAATACATATAGTTACTATTACCAAGATTAACCATCATGATACAGCATTAGTTAATTGTAATTTTAATGTTCAAGTTCAAGTTCCGGGAATCTCAACCCTCTACCCTCTACAGCTGAAAATCATGAAAGAATAAGATTATCTTTGCAGGGAGTCTACTCGGACCAATGATTTATCACCGTTTCCTTCATGAAAATACGTGACTTGTGCATCGCGGAGAATATGTTTCTGTTTGGGTTTATCATTTTTAAGCCTCTACCGGGTCAAACAATGGCACGGCCACTAACTACCTTAGAAATAATAGGGAAGTATTATCCTCCATAAGTGGTTTATAACCCGAATAAGCTAATACAACTCTCTAAAAATGAGATGAATTATAACCAGCCCCTGGGTGCCTAGAAATAAATAAAAATAATGGCTTATAGAGACATCATAAACTGCATCATAACCCTTTAATAGGGCAATCAAAATTCCGTATAAGCATCAACAAAAATATTCAGGAGTGGAGCTACATAGTATCCTCGTGTGAAATATATTTTGCCAAGCTATTTATCTTAACCAAATTTTGATATACTTTATAGTGATGTAAGGAACATGAAGTGCATTATCATAATATATGCTCCAAACAGCAGAAATGTAAGTTTTTGGAGGTTGTGAACGTCGAAGAAAATGATTTTAGTTTAAATATGAAAGAGAGAGTGGCGAAAAAACTCGCGAAGCATTTCATCGAACACATGGTGCGCAAGTGGTAAAGAGGACTTACAGCAATAACAGGGTCAGATAGGCTAACTTGATTGAAAAATAAGGAGACCCAATGAGCAAAAGCGTGTAAGCTGGGTCTGCTTCCAGCATAGCAGAGAGGATTGACGTCTAAAAAGAAGACCCTTTTCTTGCTTGCCTTGTTTGGCAACACTACTTGTTGTCCATCATCAACCGTTTGTTTATACCCACAAGCACTAGTAGTAGAAGAAGAAGAAGAAGAGAAGAAGAAGCTGCAACTTTACGAATCTTCAAGGGTTTTGTCTTTGTTACCACTATTGTGCGACGAATTGGATGATGTGGGCTTACAGAAAGAAAGGGTCTGATATGAACGCCGGTAGGAACTGCAACTTCTACCATTTCCAATAAGAGTAATTTTGATGTTGCAACTTTAGAAGCTTGGATATTTATCCAGTAAAAAAATATACAAATTGAACTAAATTTTAATTTTTTGAGAGAAGAAAAGAAAAATAAATAAACGTTATGAATCATATTCACGTCGCACCAAACTAGGGGTAAGTTCGGTTTTTTCTCAAAATCGAAAACAAAATTGAAATTACTATTCGGTTCGGTTTAGTTTGGTTTTTATCCGAAATTATTATTATAGTGCTCATGTATCCACTTTTTGTATGGATTCCATTGAGTTAGCATGGACTCCTAATTTTTTTTATGGTTTTGTTGAGTTGGTTTGAAACCCTATATTCTTTTAGATTCTTTAGATTTGGTCCAGTATCTCATTTCCGATTCAGTTTCGTTGAGTCGATCAAAAACCCTATATTATTAGCATAACATTGATTTCATCTGGAATCCTACTTTTGTTATGATTTTGTTGAGTAGTCTGAAATAGGGATGGGCAAAGGCTGAGTTGGGCCCAAATTTAAAGGAACCTGACCCTACCCATTTTAAAATGTAACAGGACAGGCTGGGCTGAGTAGAGGGATTTTGAGTTTGGGAACTAAACCTAACCTGACCCATTTCAAACGGGTCGGTTCAGGGTGGTCCACAGGTCCAATCGCAATTTGTTTTTTTTTTCCTTCCAATTTTGGGCATACTGAGATTGAAGCAGAAGGAGGAATGGTTCCGGTGCCGATTGCGACAAAGACTCCGTCGCCTAACAAGATTTCACCAGAGCGATTCAACAAGCTGATCGCTAAGCTAGATCGCGAGGCGGTGGAGAATTCGAACTTGGATTTACAGGTTCAATTTAACTTGAACACTTGCCACTGCCTTACTTATCGTCGAACCAGCGCCACTGCTCATCCTCCTTACCACGATTCCGTTAGCCAACTCTCTTTCACTCAACGCCCTCACCACAAAGGTCGAGAACCCACTGTCGTCTCTATCATCGTCGAATGACGCCCGCTTGAAGTCGCGCGACCTCCTCGTGGTTTGGTTTCGATCGAGCTTGATGATCATTATGCCAAAATCGACACCGTTTTCATCTTCCTTTTCATCGTTGAAGTAATCGATTAAGGCTTCACCACCGAAGTCCTTTGGGAGGCAATTGGGAAGCGGAGGGAGAGAGGCGTTGTCGTCTTCGTCGACATTACCTTTATAGACCATAGTGGCGTAGAGGTCGGATTCCTAGTTGGAGCTCTTATGCTTGCTCTGTCAATCGGACTCGGAGTCATCGTCGTTGTGGATGACTCCCGTTGAGTAATCAAGTTTAGGTGAGATTTTTCAGGTCCAGTGAGTGGTGGGGATCGAATCCATTTTCGATTGGGAGGGAGAGATAGGGAGGTAAAAAAGAAAGAGTGTGTTAGCTAAAGTTTGAGAGACTGACTATAAACTTGCAGAAATAAGAAGGCGATAGAGTAGTTGCAGATGTGGTCATCGAGGACTCGAGGTTGCTGGGCCATCCATTGTAATTACAAATAAGGTTGGTTCGGGGCGGGATCTCGAACCGAAACCCCTAACCCGAATTCCAAACCAAAACATTTCGGGATGGGATTTTATATCCTGAAACCGAACCGAAACTATTCATTTCCCGAAATTTGGGATTCCCAAAAGTGTTTCGGGATTTTCGGGAAACTTCAGGATTGGGCCTTGAAGCCCAAAATGTTGGGTTTTTTTTTTTAACTTTTTACAATTTTAAGCTCTTTAACAAGTAAGCCCACCCATTTTTTAGGAAAAAAAGAGTTAACAATTGTAGGCTTGCAGCCCATTACTCGCACAACCTGTTTCAATTTCACAATCACATAAATAAATTCAATTCAATCAAAGTTCACCACAATTTCATCTCATAATTTCAATTTTCATACCAAGCAAGCAACAACTAACAAGTTAAGCTTAAGTTCACAATTGTCTACCAAACTAGTTAATTAAAGGTGCATGCAACCAAAATGAAATAAGTTAAGTTTTACACACCAAACTTCCGAATGAATTTAGATTAAGTTACAAACCAAAAGCAAAACATAGTTTATAAGCAAAAAAGTGCATGCAACCAAAATGAAGCTTAAGTAATTTCATTCCCTTTCGCTCCTTCGGCCCCTTCCCCTTGTTGATGAATGACCCGTTGCCGTTAATGGTGGACCCCATCCTCTTGTTGATAATTGAACCCTCCTTTGTGTTGGTGTAGATGCTCTTGAAACGGGTGGTCACAGAGGTAGTGATGGGCGGGGTTGAACTTGAGGTGGTGGAGGAGGTGACATTTCACAATAATATATCACAACCACAGTTCAACATATATATAATATTCATATATCTCATATACTGATCAAACACATATATATCACATATATATCACAACCATAAATTGATCCATAAACTGACAGAGTGCACATTCCATAAACTGATCCATAAACACATATATATTAAACACATATTTATCTTTGATTCATAAACTGACAGGATGCACATTCCATAAACTGATTCATAAACACATGTTTATCAAACAAATGCAATAGGAAACTAACATGCTGCACAGTTGGTAATAGGAGAATAGGCTAAATAGCTACGGCGTGCTTTGATAAAATAGTAACAAATGCAGCAGGGAACTCAAAATGTGTTAGGAAAGTGACAAAAAGAGTAAGTTGGTATTGGGTTGTTGGGCTTGGAAAAAAAAATTGTTTGGAGTTTCAATTGGGTTTAATAGAGAGTTGGGTTTATCGAATCAAGCCTGGTTATTAAGATAAAAACAAATGTTAATTAACACGTTCGATCAAGTTCGATTTGGACTGGAGTTTTCAAAACTGAAAATTTAGAATTGAAGCGAGGCCCGTTTGGTCTGGTTCATAACATGGGTTTGACCAGTTTTTAATTAACTCAATTTTTTTGGGTCCAAAACAAATAACTTAATTTTTTTTTGTTTATATTTACTAGTTTGGGGAATGCCAAGGAAACTCTCTCTAAAGTGGAATTCTCCATCATCTTATGTTTTTGGCACAATCTATGTGTCAACATTATAAAACATTGTGCTAAAAACTAGAGGTGACGGAAGGTTCATAAAAAGTCCAATTTTCAGAAAGTATCCTTAGCATTTCTCTTTCTAGGTTTGAATAGGTTTTCTAGTGCATCAGTTTTATTCCCCACTCTTAGCTAAGCACTAACTAACGTAGTTGTGTTCGTTTTAATTAGTAAATACGTGTGTATTTTTGAAAAATATTTGCATTTTTCGCACACTCTTTAATTGATGAACTAAATCGCATGTTTTTAGAATTTCAATAGAATTTCAACATATAATACACACATAGTATATCGTATTTATGTACTTTCAAGTATAATACACGTTATTTTAACATATTTTTCAATTTAACATATTATTGAAAAAAAATAATACATAAATATTTTTAACAAAAATTTGCAAATAATATTTATTTTAACAAAATATTTAAATTATTTATAGAAAGGAAGCATACCAAGCGGCCATCATCAACATTGACACCGGTAAATTAGTTGGAAGTTGGAACCTCCGCCTTTGGCTTCGATGCATTCGAGAAACTCACACCCAAATATCACCAACTTATCAACCATGAAATAAACCCACTAAACAAAACCCCTTCCCATCCGAACCGCCTCGTTCCTTCGCGCTCTCTCTTTCTCTGACTGCCGCTTCAATGGCTCACCTTCTCAACACCTCCTTCATCCCCAGCTCCCAATCCCTCCGCCGGAACGCCACTTCCTCTGCGCCGCCCCTCATTTCAGGGCGCCGGAGCAGGGCCCAAGTCCAGGCCAAGATCCGGGAGATCTTCATGCCTGCTCTCAGCTCCACCATGACTGAGGGCAAGATCGTCTCTTGGGTCAAGTCCGAGGGCGACATAGCTCTCCAAGGGCGAGAGCGTCGTCGTTGTCGAGTCCGATAAGGCCGACATGGACGTCGAGACTTTCTACGACGGTTACCTGGCTTCGATTATGGTGGAGGAGGGCGGCGTCGCCGCCGTCGGTTCGGCTATTGCTCTGTTGGCCGAGACTGAGGACGAGATTGCCGAGGCCAAGGCCAAGGCCGGTTCTTCATCGGCAGCTCCAGCGGCACCAGCACCGGCTGCAGCTGCTCCGGAGCCACTACCGGAGAAAATTCCGTATAATGTGGGTCCTGCGGTGGTCCCTAAGGCGGCGGCTACTGTGGCGGCGGTGGCTTCGACCCACCCGGCATCAGAGGGAGGGAAGAGAATCGTGGCGTCGCCGTATGCGAAGAAGCTCGCAAAGGACTTGAAGGTGGATTTGGGGTCAGTGGTGGGAAGTGGACCACTGGGGAGGATTGTGGCTAAGGATGTTGAAGCTTTTGCTGCTCAGCCGACGGTGGCGGCTGCTGCTGAAACGAGTGTTGGGAAGTCAGCTACTGCTGTGGCGGCGGAGGCGGGAATTCAGTTGGGATCGGTGGTTCCTTTTACGACAATGCAGGGGGCTGTGAGTAGAAACATGCTTGAGAGTCTCTCAGTGCCAACTTTCAGAGTAGGATACACTATCACCACTGATGCGCTCGATGCTCTGTACAAAACGGTAACTTTTCATTTTCCAGAAAATGTGCTTTCGGAATCATTTCACATGTTGCAAGAACAATGCTGAATTCTTGTTGGGTTTAAAATTCAAATTCATTGTACGTTAACGCTCAGCGCTGAAAAGATGGTTTTTAGGTAGTTTCAATTCAACAATTTGGCTGCTTAACATGACAATCATCAAAATTGAGTCTCTACTAGATAATTCGACGTTGTCTTGAAATTGTAAAGTGATTTCTTTTTTCCATTTCAATGAAGACTATGTAGTTTATAGTATGCTATGCGCTTGCATCGTTAATAAGCTTGTATTTTATTTTCCAAGAGAATGTGGCTTACTGGTCGAGAATTGTGAAATCATGACAGTGGATTCGTAAGTTAAGTTTACCACGTTATACTGTTATAATGAGTAGATGTTATGATTAATTTTTTCTAGATCAAGTCCAAGGGAGTTACCATGACAGCATTGCTTGCAAAGGCTACAGCACTTGCATTGGTCAAACATCCTGTTGTCAACTCCGGCTGTAGAGAT